AAGCGTGCTTGATGTAACGCACAATTCGACTTCTCTTCCCACGTCCGTGAGAGCCCGACCCTGACATAAACAGCGCACGCAATAACCTGCGTTACGTAACGGACACAGGTCCATGGTTGTACACGGTATCATATGCCAACGTTACAATGCGCGACGTGCGTATTTGAGAACAGGATGCTGGGAGAGCACTAGGACCTAAGAGGGAAAAAGTAACAAAAGCCCAGAAAAGAATTCGTAACGAGGAGTTTCATAACTCAGCTTTCAAAATATTATGATAAGAACTTTATAGAGTGCATCCTGTTGTGTGTATATCTTATAGTTATGACCGTTAACATAAAAATAAACCGGAATATCTTCGGGTGAAGATAAAAACAGATGTTAATACGTGTCTCACTTATTTAATATAAGCGTGGATTTCTTGCTACATGTTTCGACCTATGATTTAGGACATCATCAGGCACCTTCTATAACCTGTAACTCAAGTTATTAAAGTAAACTGGTTCTTTTCTGTGCTCTGCTCTGAATGCACGCTGCACTGCAATAACAGACGAACATCTCGCATATTCCAACACAAAGAAACTCTTTGTTAGCTTCGTCGCCAATTTGTGAGGCACTGCATTCAACTGGTGTATCATGATGCAAACTCGGTGAGTTTGCAGTTCTTTTCATGTATCAATCATGTTTGTATGTGTAATACTTTGGATAATATAGTGTTTTGAAATGGAATGAATCATTTGTAGGAACCATGTATTTCGGTTCAATTACAATATTCTGCTGGGACGTTGTAATTTCAGGTATGAACCCTGTATCACGACAACGCTATAAATCTGATCACTATGAAGCCTATCTTTCGTGACACAGAAATGAACAGCATCATTGGGCGAATGTTTTCAATACGCACCTTCTGAACCGACGCAAATAATTCTGATTGTGGCGTGATGCAGCTACGTCAGCTCTTGTTTTGAAACAAAAGAAGTCGGACGTAATGATGTGAACGATGCTACTGACTTTTGAAACGTCAAGGGCAATGACGCAACTCTGGGAACTTTGGGAGACAAAGAGAGGAAGAGCTACCACCTGCAGTGACTCTGCTGAATGCACCCCACGTGGCTCACTACTCATGTGCTGTCCTCAACACGCCTTTTTCTGCTGAACAACGATCCAAAATCCAGTTACTAGGTTAGCAGTTGTGACCAGATGAAGGGTGTTATTTTCTGGGGCCCATTATAATTACATTAACCTTTGGCATGCGTTACCAAGTTGAGAGAAGAGAGGGTCATTGTCGGCACGTCACAGCGGAACAAGGGTCATCAGAAGGTCGTCCTAATTGCGACTTATGCACGACCAATCAGTAATATTGTTATGGGTAATTATTTTCTTAAACGAATATTGTCGCCACTTAAATTATGCTGTGTTCAAGACAAAAGTCTTTCAAAATATACTTCTGAAACTGCTGCACTCTATATCTCGATACAATAAAATCGCAAAGGTGATGGCTTAGACTAGGCATGCGCAAGCAGTGGCTGCAGGTAGTACTAATTTTTCCGGTAGCTGGATCCGTCACAAGTAGTCCCTCTGTCGTGAAGTGTGTCATTTCCAGGAGCTTCTTGAAGCCTGCATTTTGTATTTTTCCATTGTTAGATATTACAATTCGATTCCGGGAAAGGGAAGCGGAGCCCTTAGTATGTAACATGTTCGTTATATTGTCACGTGCATCCTGATAACGCAGCAGTAAATAATGGATTCCGGATTCGATAACTCGATTTATTGGATAATTTCACACGTCGTAACTACAATTCGTTATTACACCTTTACGACTGCTGTATCTATGACATACAAACACTTAAAACACTTTCAAGGTCACTACATCAGCTACTGAACTGCCTTGAACAACGTCATCCAGACGAATCCTCTCGAACAGTCTTCACTGTTTCTTACATAAGCTCGGCACGGACCACATAGAATACACTGCCTCTATTGTTGACGAAACTTGTTTACTACTCGTTGCCTAGCAATGGAAAGCCCTTTTCCTACTGTTGGCCAAGAATGTTTCTTCGTGTGAATATGTTTACATAGCTGTTCCCTAGCAAAGAATATACATGTTAATTGATCTTTGCTCTGTACGGGGAATTTCTTGCCAACCCTGGACTGGGAACAATAACTTATATCTTCAGTCAGTCGTAACGTCTGCATTGTTTATGGGTTTTGGTAATAGCATTTATGGCTACACGCACAGTAGTTCCTACGTAATTACGTAATTTCACGTGTGAAATAAAGTAGCTTCAATATCAATGAAATATACAGAATCAGAAGGAGCACATTTGCATGAAATATTTAGTGTTCACGCCTTCTTCGTGTGGGATCACTGCGTGTTGCATGTCAACACCTTCCGTACAGGTGACACCAAGTTTCGGAGCCATGTCTGTGGAACACTGACCTTCGGTAATTGCAGTATGGTTGGTAATGAAACTAATTTACAGGCAACAGGAATACTGACAAACAAACAAACAAATTAAATATCTAACGAGTTAATTCTATGGAGTCCTTCGAAATGTAACAATTGTTCAACTAATAAGAAGTTCACCGTCATTTACTGAATTAAAATTTTGTAACCATATTCATAAGAACCCACAACTGGTACCCATCCCAAGTCAGCCCTGTTCCCATAACACAAATTTTAATATTATCCTTCCATCACCGTTCTGCGTCAGATGAATCCAGTCTATATCCTAAACCTTCACTTCCTATTTCTTTAGAATTCATTTAAGTATTGTGCTTCCATGTAAGCCTATTCCAAGAGGCCTCTTTCCTTAAGCTTCTCCTGCCGAAGTCTGGTTTACACTTCTCATCTCTGTAACATATATCACATATCCGGCCCACCTCATTCACCTTGATTTGCGAAGGCCTATAATTGTTATTTTGCCTGTGGTTCTGTATGGGTGTGAAACTTGGTCTCTGATACTAAGGTAGGTGAAGTAGCAAGAGGTTGGAGACGCCGGTCACGGTAGCCGAGCGGTCTAAGGCATGCACTGTCTTCGCTCGCTCAGAAGCCGGGATCGTGGGTTCCAATCCACTCAGGGCATGGATGTTTGTGTGCGTTTTTCTGTGTTTGTCTACAGGTAGAGGTCTTGCGACGAGCTGATCACTCGCCCAAGGAGTCCTACCGTATGTGTAAGATCTAGTAAACCGAAGTGAAACGGAGAGTTTCATGGCGGTAGGCCTAGGGCCAAACTGGGGCTGTAGCGCCACAGGAAAAAAAAACAGGTTGGAGAAAACTACAAAATGAAGAGCTACATAACCTGTACCCTTCGCCAACTATAATTAGAATGATCAAGTCAATGAGGATGAAGCACAAATGGGGGTGAAGAGAGATGCATATAGGGTATTGGTGGGAAAACCAGAAGGAAAGAGACTACTGGGAAAACCAAGGCGTAGGTGGGTGGACATTATTAAAATGGTACTTAGGAGATAGGAAGGGATGGTATGGATAGGATTGATCTGGTTCAGGATAGGGACCAATGGAGAGCTCTTGTGAATAAAGCTTCGGGTTCCATAAATACTGGTAAGTTCGTGATTAACTGCACAATTGGCAGCTTCTCAAGAAGAGCTCGGCGCCATGAGTGAGTGAGTATAATTGTTATTAGGCGTATAATGATGCTTCTTGGAGACTGTGGGGAGGAAGAGGTCTCGGTGTATTTTATGATACTCTCCCAGTACTGCATTCAAGGACTACGTGAAGCCGGGGAATAGCAGACTAAGTATCCCCATTAGGTTACAGCAGTACAGGCCTCTCTGAATCATAGCATCAGACTGTTCACAAAAATCTCGATAAAAGGATGGAAAGTATAGCGCGCTCTCTGGTGCAATCCTACGGGACGCAGACTCTAATCAGTTATTAAAGGTGTAAACAACCAAAAAGAAGCAAGAGCATTGAGTGAGGATAATATGGAGGAGAAACGTGATGGTCCACCTTGTAAGCCACTCAAATCGAAACAAACAGAGACATCTATGTTTCGTGTCTAAGGGGTGGATATAACCACATCACGAGGCATTGGGAACGATGGAACAAGTGGAATACTTAGTTCGTAGTCAGCCGACATCGCAAGCTTCTTGTAGTGGGGTGAGACTGAGTCCACTTGGTACGTCGGCCACTATCTGGCCTATTGTACTAGACCCTGGATGATAGATGATGACTGTGGAGCAGTCGGTGGAATGAGAATGGGTAGGGGAAACCGAAGAACTCGGAGAAAACCTGACCTAGTGTCACTTTGTCTACCACAAATCCCACATGACATGACCTGGGCTCGAACCCGGGCCGCAGCGGTGGGAAGCCGGCGACTAACTGCTGATCTATGGCATGGTCTTCTGAACAGATTCCTTCACTAGCAACTACCAATTACACTATCAGTTTAAGCGTACCGATCCCTGGTGCCTGCTGTTCCGCTTTCAAAAACGAAGTAATCCCGTGAACCGTTTTAAGGGAACCCAGCCGTCAGGCGGCTGTTAGAAGTCCAGCATTTTGTCTCTATCCTCATTTGCGTTCACTCCATATATACTGTGGTGAACCTATATATGGGTGGGAATTAAAATAGGTATTTAGTATAATAATTGAGGAAATAGAGGCTCCTGTCTAGAAAACTGAGATTAACGGCTGCGGGGATCCGTTGCGCTGACCACGTGACACCCTCTATCCGCAAAAGTTTGCATTAACTTCGCCAACAAGCGGCGGGGGCTCGGTCGGTATAGTTCGCTTTCGGACTACAGGCTACGGAGTTTGTCTGTAGGATGAGGCCAGGGTTCATTTACGGGAAGGCGGGAAGGGGCAAAGATTTTACTCATCATTGTATTCTAATCGACTCTGGGAAACTCACAGCCTCCTATACAATAGGTGCAGAGGCCAAAGATGTCAAGTGTGAAACTGACCCCTCATCTCCATCTAGGGCATCTGACCTTTACGTTTTAGCACAGACATCGTGAATAAAGCATAAAGGTGCACTGACCTTCATCGCTTTACTTCCACCGCCGCCGCCGCCGCCGCCTCCTCCTCCGCCTCCACCGCCTCCTCCACCACCTCCGCCGCCACCAGAATTAATAAAGAGGGACTCTGTCCTCTTGGGCTGTCCCGGCGACGGGATTATGTCCTGCCCCAGTGTCCTGTTGCGCAGAACGACGTCTTCGAAGGGGCCCTGCTGAGGGCCCAGCGAGTTGGGAATGGTGTAGAGAGGCGCACCCACAACTGCCCCGTTGCCCGCGGACGGGGTGTTGCCTCGGGCAGCAGAAGGGCCCCGCCCTGTTCGGTCCACAGACGTCTCTCTGCCAGTGGGCGCAGCAGGGGGCGCAGCCTTATCCACGGAGGACTGTCGGGATCCCAAACCGCCCAGCCGTGAGGCTGCACGCTGGTAACGGTCCACGCTCGAGTCCCGGCTCGGCGGTCGCTTGTAATGGTCGAACCGGTCATTCAACGACTGCTGATAGCCGAACGCTGGCACTTCCTCAGGGGCCGCAGCAGGCTGAAGGAAACAGAAACCATTCCCCAGTGAAAGATACGTCCTCATTGTATAACGGATGCGTAAATTCATTAAGTTTTGGGGCAAGATATTAAGCAGTTACCCAAACTCTCAAGTATATGCATTCCCTGAGTTGCTGCGTATATGAGTACTATGGCAGAATTCGAAGAGGTATACTAATACGGAAATAACACTAGTCAGTGTTCCCATGTGGCTGCCACTCACAGTATCCTCTAAAACGACTTTGGAAATCTGTTTAAGAAGTTGTGGGAGCTGCCCACATTCAAGTAAAAGTTACAGTGACATCTCAGGTACAATTGCTTAGCAACAGCGAGTAAACAGTCCCAAGTCCAAATCCAAGTCACATTGCGACTGACGGTCAGTCAGTCAGTAAGTCTTGATGTCGAGCCTCATGACCAGATATTTATTATTGTTTGACAGTTACGGTCTAGATGTGTGGGGCGCCTTCTCTGACGAGAGGACGGGTCTGTCTATTACATATGCTGCTGTTCCTTGCCAGCGCAGTCTTCCTCCCGTCCGAGTCCCTTGGGACTTGCGGCCATATTTTACCGTCTCAGATTTGAGACTTCCCTTTTCGTCGCCTCCTACGACTCGCAGGGTCACGGTGGAGGTATTCGACCCCGCCTCCGCACGGACACTCACTCCGAGTAGACAGTCTACAACAATATGCGACTATGGGTAGCACTCACAGGGGATCGTGTGCTAGCCAATCGCAAGGTGGAAACCATTCGCTGCCTAGCAACGGCTGGTAAAAAGCTGGTGCTAGGCAAAGCCTGCAACAATACGGACAGTGACATGTTTACTATAAGTCGGACTCTAGGTTATATAAGAAGATACATTGAGTCTCTCGTCAGAGAAGGCGCCCCAAAAGGAACAGGACAGTAACTTTCATATAAGAAAAAAGAAAAAAATCTGGTCATGAGTCCCAGCCGGGGCTCGACACCAAGACAGACAGACTGATGGACCGTCAATCGCAATGTGACTTGGACTTGGAACTTTACAGTTCTACAGTTCCAGTTCAGTATTTTGTTCACGTCACCAATGTGGGATGTCGATGTATGAAGAGACAACCACTTGTTGAGCTAATCTATAATATTTATTATAGTTGCACAGTATACACAGACGAACTTGAGTTGAAGAAGAATAACAATAATAGTGAAATGTGTAACACCTTGAACGCTGTATTGAAACGCAACACTGAACTAGAACTGTAGAACTGTAAATGTCCACTGAATGTATCTTCTTATATAACCTAGGGTTACTCGCCGTTGCTAAGCAATGGTACCTGAGCTGTCACTGTAATGTTTGTTTGAATGTGGGAAGTTCCCACAAAGAGTTTAGAAACATATATATCATATTTAGTAGAAATACAAGGATGGGCCATAGGTCAGGTAGTCACTCGCCGGCTACTCGCTATAGAGGCCCAGGTTCAGTCCCATGACAGTCCATGAAGGACTTGTGTACAAAGTTTTTCTGGGACAAATATTTCTTCAAGTACTTCGGTTTTCCCCTGAAGATTATTATTTCCCCAACATTATGTTCCCTCATCCATCATCTGGAGATGGGACAGCAGGCTTTTTGTAGCCACTGTACCATTGCATTCAATGTTACCGCCCCCCCCCCAAAAAAAATTATACACCTATATATATAAGAACTGTCCCAATAGGTATACATGTCCAGCATCTTTTGAGAATCTAATTCTTCAAACATTTCTAAAAAAGTAGCAGGCCTGTTACTGAGTTATATACATGTGGTGAATGTTTCATTAGAGTAGCATGTAATTATATAATTATTTTAGTGAGTGAGATCTCAGTAACTTTTCTGCTTCAATTTATAGTCAAGTCATTTGTACTGATTTCACGTGACTATCAGCACAATGAACAAATTAAAAATTCTACTAAACTGTATTTAAATCTAATTTAACATACTTTTGGCAGTGACATTTTCATCACTACAGCTATAATATTTATAAAGCTATAGTGCTTATAAAGCCATTATTAAGTTCCTTGAATGAGGTAATGGCACTTTGTAACATGTAACAGAATCCCTCTTCTGTATGCTTCTGCTTCTTCAGAATCTAATAGCTACTCAACTGGTTAAGATGTTCACCTCCTTATACAGAACCCTATGGTTCATTACTAAGTTCCATAAGTTTGCAAGAGGTCCCTATACTGAGTCAAATGAATCAATTTTCCAGCTTCCATCCTATTACTTTAAGATCACTTTAATATAATCCAACATTTATGCCTAGACCTTCCAACTGGTCTCTTGCTTTCAGACTTTCCAGTCAAAACTTTGTTTGCATTTCTCATATCTCTATGTATCCCACTCATCCCAGCCCCTTGATTTGATATGCTGTTTTGAAAAAAGAAACGATTTTAGAACATTTATTGCGGTATAAACAATGCAAGAAAAGAATACGCTGCTGTTGACATATGTTAAACATGGGCTGGAATATAATCCTTTCGAGAAGGAAATAAAATGAAAGATACTGAATGAATGATCAGTAAGCACACCAAAGAATGTTAAAAGATTAAGTAAGGGAAGATACAAGAGAGGGAGAGAGAGAGAGAAGGAGAGCATGAGAAAAGAAAGGATGGACACAAATTTTCAGTACATCACTCAACATAGGGAATCAAGTGAATAACGTTCATATCTTTCTGAGATTCAGTTTGTTAAAATAAGAAATCACGTTCATGCAGTTTCATGAAAATCAAGCAATATGGTACCAAATAAATTATTTTTCATACTTTTTGAAAACAAACAACTTGGTGTCAAATTAAATGTCATCCATACAGAGTTTCATGAACATCAAATACAATTCTGTCTCAAATGAAATGACGCTATAGTTCACGTTCACAAACAACATAAATGACGTACTGTACCATACAGCCTCTTCCTTCAAGGTATAAGAGTAAATTTCTACCAGATTATATGTCATCATAAGCCAAAAGATACTACTTCTCATTATAACTGCTGTCAAAACATCAAATCACAGAACAAAGACCTGAGGTAGGTAATTAGGTACAAAAGAGGAGAAGCAACAAAGACTTGGAAAAAATTATATAACCAGGAACTTCCTCATGAATGCTACTCTTCAGTTAACATTCTGAATATGATTAAATGCAAGAAGTTCTGAGAAGAATTAATTGCCTACTTTTCTTTCATTGCATACTGAGTACCTGATATCATGCCAACTGTGTCCAACAGTTCTTTTCCTGCATGTGCATGCATTACCGTGAGAACGAGTTTATGGAGCTGGTGCCTAGCAACATTATGGGGGAACACAGAGACACCCAGAGAGCAAGTGAGTAGACATTTAACAAGCTCTTACCTAGCATCTTCAGGTGGATACATAGACAGACAACAATGGGATCTTATGAGCCATCACTTATATCTTAAAAATAAAAAAAGTACATGATTTATTTTATCCGTCTTCTAGTGCATACATTCATCTATCCCCTCTTCTCACTCACTACATGTTTCGGCACAAATGTGCCATCTTCAGGTGCTGATCCAATCCACGACAAACTAGTTCATTGAATGTATGCACTAGAAGACGGATAAAATAAATCATGGACTTAAATCAGTGCAACAGGACGCTAAAATATAACATTATAAAAAAAGTAGCCTAAAAACAGATGATATTGTTGGACCATATGACACAAATTAAGAATGTAAAATGGTAAAGGTCAACTGAAAAATCCAATGACCTCATTGGAAATCGAACCCGTGACCTTCCAGCTTGTATCATAGCGTCTCAACCAACTACACTACCATGTGCCCACATTGAGAACACAGAAGTATACAGGTATGTTACCACTACCAGCCTGTGAGCTTGAACCTTGCTGTGCTTTTGTGTCACACAGTCTAATACTACCTTACAAGAAACATCCTATTAAATGGCGCACAGCTACTATCAATGATTACTCTGAAAATTCTGCATCAGAGTCCATCTTAGTGTCACTGTCGCTATCTCATCCTAGTCAAATTTTTGCCTTGTCAGTCAATAATGCTCTCACATTCAATATATTCATTTTCAATTCTTGCTTTCCACACAGAGGTTTCCAGTACCTCCCAGACATTTAAGCAATTTCTCTTCCATAACTCCATATCATCACTCAAAGGTGATTTGAAACATACCCCTTTACTACACACAAATACATATATTCTCCGTGGGATTTAAATTGGGAAGATATGGTGGAAGCCACAGGGCTCTATGTGTCCATGAATTTGCAGAAGCTGATTGAAAATGTGTTTTGTTTTATGGTTTAGCATGTTTCATTAGTTAACACAACTATGGCTTAGCATAAAGTTCAGAAAGAGAAATTTCTCTTCCTTAACCAGTTCACCATACGAGTATCTATCTTTCTTGAAGTTTCTGTAGGTGCTTTGTCTCCTTCCACATTATGGTAGCATGTGATTCAACAATTATAATAGAATTAACAGAAAAATATAGAATCAATTTTCCTTTCACCCATTTGAGATAATTTTCTCTGTCCATGATATAAACATTCGGGGTATGTGTGGAAGGATAAGAACAACTAAAATTTTATAAGGTAGTGGCAGTTCCTACATTGCCTTATACAAGTAGAACGAGACAAACTATTGATCAGACAAAAGGAAAACAGAATCAGCTGAAATGAGGTTTCTACATGTATATCCAGCAGCTGGTTACACACTCCTAGATCAAAAGCGAAGTATAGGCATATGTTCAGAATTAAAATATTAATTTAACTGAGATAATAGGAAGAAAAGAAAAAAAAATTGGCCCAAATATATTTTAAGAATATAAAGAAACAGACTACAGATGATATTACTAAATTATAAACCCAGAGGACCCTGAAGTATTGGACAACCCACAGCTAGATGTGAGGACATATTCTCTTGAAGCCGGACACAAGCCAATGGTCTACTTCCTTGAGGAAGGTTGAGGAGGGGAAGTAAGATGAGGAGGTTTACTCCTTCTAGTTGAATTGACCATAACCTCTTAGGTTTGGTAGTAGAAAATCAGTTTTTGACCCCTACTGAACCAAAGCCAAGCTCAGAGATCTATGCAAACTGAGAACTTTTTAGAAAATTTCGGCAGAAGAAACAGTTTGTTGAGATTTAGAGAAGTCGGATGAATAATATTAAAATTTATCTTACAAATATATGGTATGAAGGTGTGAACTGTGCTGAATTGAGTCACAGTAGAGTCCAATGTAAGAGTAATGAGAACATTATAAGTGATAAGGTTCCACAAAGTGTGGGAATTTGTTGACTGCCAGAATAACATGCAGCAGTTCAAGGACCACTGTAGTTATGTGGTCAACTTTAGTTCACAAAAATATCTCGAGTGGATACAAATATTATTAAAGCAACAGGTATAGCAAGTGGGCAGTCTAGTTCAAAACGATCTGTGATTATAAACATGGAGTCCCAAAATTCTCAGTGTCACTCATGAGAACTGGAAGTGATCGCTGTCCTAATGGCACTGAAACACTTAACATATATTAGTGCAGTCACTCAGTCGGTATAGTTCGCTTGCAGACTACAGGCAATGGAATTTGTTTTTACTTGTTTTTACTGATCTTCTCTTTGTCTGTTCTTATATTGCAAGAAACATCATGTGAACTACATTTACAAAGATTGTGGCTGATGGTAAATACAAGACCATCTTTGTCCGTACCCACTCATTGTGCTATTGTATGCATTTACAAACTAACTTCATGGCACTATTTCCTGAAAATCTGATGGTTAGGTCTGTCAGTACTTGAGCATTTCCTTTCTAGAATGAAAAGTGAACATTTGTGGACCTTATACTGTGACAGTCGCATCTAGTTCCTACTCTCACATAATCTTTTCCTAATATCATATATATACTCTAATATTAATTCCATTTAAAATTATCCTGCCTCCAAAGTGGTGTATAATAATGAGATATTCAAACCAAAAAGTTGTATGCATTTTTCATACTCCCCATGTATACTAAACATTGCATATGCCTCATTTCTTTTTATTTAATGTTATAGTAATATTAAGTGAAGTTTACAGATTATGAAGCTTGTAAGTTACCAAAACAAACCTTAATTCTTGAGTTGCGCCGCAGTGAGACGTTGGACCCTCCTGTAGGTGCAGAAACCCCAAAAGATGTGATATTTGGGTTGTTAACAGAGGGATTCAGCATGGGACCCTCTTCGTTCTGGGAAGGCAACTGTGGTGGCTTGGAGGGGGCAGCAGGCACTGCATTGGGGACACGGTTTGGCACCTGGTCAACCTTATTCATGTATGCTTTGCCCATGTTCAAGTCCGTAGTCACTACACTAGACATATGCACAGACTTGACAGATTGCGTGTACTGGGGTTGCTGGTTCAGTTGGTTTTGTTGATAGCTTTGCTGGCTCTGTTGGTGAGGCTGCTGGTTCTGTTGGTGGGGCTGTTGATTCTGTTGGTAGGGCTGTTGGTTCTGTTGGTAGGGCTGCTGATTCTGCTGGTTCTGCTGATAGAGCTGCTGGTTCTGCTGGTAGGACTGCTGATTCTGCTGGTAGGGCTGTTGGTTCTGCTGGTAGGGCTGCTGATTCTGTTGATAGGGCTGTTGTTTTTGTTGATAAGACTGCTGAGTTGATTGTTGGATTTTCTGCTGCTGTTGTTGCTGTATGACCGACTGGTCATTGGTTTTCTGAAGAATCGACTTTGCAGGCATTGCATCTTCTGGTGGTGGTCGGTACTTGATATGTTCTCTGGCCCGAAATTTGTCCAACCCTGAAATCATAAGCAAGCTGAATGAAAATGAGCTCCTCCACATTCTGCACTCTGTCAACTGAATTCATGGTAACAAAGCTCGAAGTTAAACACAGTGGTGTCAACCTCTCTTATTAAAGGCAGGATCACTTCATTACCAACCCTTTCCAAGCAGGTTTATTAACCATTCAAAATGGATGTTACTTAAGAAGAGTATTATCACTGGGGCTGAGAATCTGTGTCATGTGTTAGAAGTCCGCTGATTTTTCGCAAGAACTGATCGCCCCATGTTCAGGGCCAAAGAATAAGTCAAGTAAGAAACTGGGGAGCACTGCTTGCTGCCTGCTTATTGGTGGTTAATTGTTTGGCTTACTCTTTGACTCTGATGATGGAGGCGATATGTTACTCTGAATGTTAGTGGACTTCTACAGAATTACACAGTGTTCCAACTTGTTCTTACTTGTGGGCATGGAGTTGTATATCTCTCCAATTATCTAATTTTTCAGAATACTCTCAGTAACCAGGCATTGGTTCTACGAGAATTGTTCAAGAATTCTAGGATTGTTCTTTGTGAAGGAGTAGAATCCGTTAAAATAATCCCCACTGGCATGGAGGCAGGCATCCAATTCACACACCAGCTGAGGGATGCCATCGACAAAGAAATTGCCTGTACTACTGTACCAACTATGAAAACTTTTTTAGACCCAAATCTACGGACTTTTAGCGCCATCTTAAATGGGCCTAATATTGCCGAAGGCGTGAACGCCTTTCTTTTGAACAAACTTCATACTTATTGGCTGCATTAGCAAAATTATTTTCTGAGTGGCAATATTTAGTGCTTGGTGGAACCCAAAATTCAGCATTTGATACTTTGTTCATTTTCTTTCAATATACTTGTATTCGAATGTTTCTCAGGCGCTTTTAATAAAATCGCAACAATAGCATTGTTAATATGCGGCAAAAAGGATTTTACAAGTGTTACTAAATTGACATTTACAATGTGGATTTCCTGTGACTAAAACTTAGTCAGAGCAACGATGGATATTTTATGATAGTACACACTGTTCATGTTTTTATGAGATTTCTCCAAATAGTGCAGATTTTCGGCCTGATATGAAAAGTTCATATGGGGCCCTACATGAATTTTTTTCTCACCTTATGAAATATCTCATTCTTCAGCATACAGCATAATAATTGATCTAATTTACAGATCTACTGGACAAAAACGAATACCAAATTCCCATAGGTTTAAAGGAACAGAATGAAATAAACGTTACAGTGGCAAGACTGTCTGTAATGAACCCCTTAGTTGCTGAAATAAGATCGTCCGCAGTAAAATTATTCTTCCTATTTTCTGCATAGAAAGGCTGATAAAGTAAACAATATTCTTCATGTATTTCGATAATTTATGTATTCTACCGAACAGTTGACAACCCACGTTATGACACAGCCGGTTGCACACCACAGTACAAAAAGCCGTCGCAAACGATCATGAGTGAGTTAATCCATCTCCGATCCTCAAGACAGATTTCCTTGAGATTCATATTAATTCGTGCTGCCACTTCCTACTCTTTTATTTCAAATCCCTGCCTTCCAGTGACTCTGTCAGAAGCCAAGAAGTATACGTTTCACTTTTCCCCTATCTGAACCATTTTCACCCCCTCACAACTTCCTCGATTCTATTTCCCACAAAACAGTACGTATCACGAAGGTCCTCGTTGCGTAATATTCTCTATACAGCAGTTGACGTTCTTCCCTCACCACCACAGCAAGCCATACCACTCCACACTTTACAAAACAAACGAAATATTGTGTGTTCACATGTAGGCTATAATTTGTAGCAGCCAAAGTACCCATCCTTTCTCAACGTTTGTCTAAAATGAACTGTACAGAAGTAATGACTAGTGATTTATCACAACACTCATCTTCAATAAACTCTCGTTTCATGCTTGTAACTTCGTAAACAGGAACGGAGAGTAAGATGTTATACAGAGCCTACCAAAAAGAATGCCGCCATATCAGGAATCTGTAGCTTAGGAACGAAAACAGGTATGAAGAGGTATGAAAACGGTATTTTATTCGTCAATTGAAACAGTTTCTTACATCAAGTGAAAAAAGTTTTTAGGTGCGAAATACATCACAATGAGTACCATCTCGGCCTCTGCACACACCGCTGATGGAAAAAGAAATCACGCATATGTCCTACACATCTGCGGGGCGGAACTACAAAGCGAACACTGCTGCCTCGCTGATTTACAGTGGACATGTCTTAGGCATTCCCACAACTGACTGACTGAATCGCGGCACTCACAGATAGTAACAGATTTTCTACATGCACAATGAGAGACAAAAATATGGTGCCAATATGCTTGACTCTTCTGAATTTTACACCACAATTAGAGTGACCCACAGAAGACTCTATACGACGTTATAGATATGGATCAACATCAATTCCTTGACCTCATCCAGGACAGAGAAGTAACTGTGGAAAACGGGAAGACCTTGAACCAATATGCCGGAGACCGTTGCATCGGAAAACGCGAAATGGGAACCATTGGATACGGTGTCCCCTAGTCGGTACGACAAGCAGTTACGAAACCGAGTGCGTTCGTGAACAGACAGAGAAGTGGGAGATCAGTGAAGACCGGAGCGGAGAAGAGACCAGAGAGAAGACCGGAGCTGTGGTCAGATCAGAGACGATGGGCTAGCCAGTTGGCATCGTCTGGAAGAAATTATGTCAGTGACTGTAGTGACTGTAAATGTAATTGTAAAAGAGTTGTCTAATACAACAGCTTCGTCTAAGCCGGAATCCAATACTTACGAGTATTTGTCAACGAACCCAGGACACGTGACAATATAAATGAACACATAATAACAATAGTAATACTATATGGATACATACGGACTTACAGATGTACATGTGGACAACGCTCTGAAATTGAAGTTCTAAGCGACTATTCTGTCCCTCTCGTGAAAGGGCAGTTCTTGTAGTTGAACGTTGGCAGAAACGTCTCCAACGTATCTCCGACATCAGAATTAACTTATATTTTACATCCGAGATTTGAAATGGGTTACATCTAGATCAGAGGCATTACCTGGCTGTTGGAAGTCGGGAGCGAACTGCTTAGCCGTGGTCCTCGCAATATCCGAGTCCTCATGCGCGTGGTCCGCTGCCATGTCTGCCAGCTCCGCCTTGCCTCGAGCCGTCGCCGTCCTGCAAAACGATCAGAGAAACTCAGTGCCTATGTCTGCCTATTAAACAGTGGAATATTCGTATACCCTCCCACTATACATATATTCCAGTTTCTAAAGGAATGCACTATTTCGAGGCACGCATGAAGGGCTCTACATTCTTATCTCACGAAATTAAATTATATTCCAAAAAAAAAAAAATGTTATTTTTTTTAGGAATGATTTATTATAAATATCTTCCTTTTCGATATAATGGTCGCTCAAGCTAACATCTTCCTACATCTAAGTGTCAACTACAAAGAAAGGAAAAACATATGTGAAACAATTAGTCGCAAACAACTTCGAAAGGCTAATAAAGCAAGCCGCAATAAAAGATGGACATACATCACAAAGAAAAGTAGGTCTAGATGAGAGAAACCTTATCCGTAACGTCAACATGAAAGTCCATCGTAATCAACTAATCGTAACAAGAGCAGATAAAGGAAAATACATTAATTATAATTTACAAAATAGACTATTACCACAAAAATAATTTTATTCTACACAACAATTTCGAAAAATTACAAAGAGATATTACCGAGACACACCAAATAAACACAAGAATGAAGATATATACGCAGTAAACATAAACACGGAATACTAGAGCTTCACGAAAATAAAAATTCAGTTCGACCCATAATTAGCCGGAAGAATTCTCCAGAACAAACTGGGCAAAACGCGTAGGGGAACTTCTTAAAAAAAATAAATAAGCTACCGAACGTTAAACTTCTCTTGATATAGCGAAATAGCTACAACGAATATCCATAAGAAACACCGAACTATGCTCATTCGATATAACTGATAACTAAGATAATCATTATAGAGTGTCTGCATAAAAAACACGAGTTAATGACACTAATTAAACAGTTACAGAACAAAACTATTTCAATTTTAACGAACAATATCATACAAAAGTGGCATAGCAACGGATGCATCCATTTCAGCCATTCTAGAAGACAACAGATCTGGTCATACAGAATAATTTATATCATTCATACGAACACAAAAAATCTGCGATAACTATTTAATTCAAAGCACCAACACGTTTCCTATAAAAACAACAAAGAATTATAAAACATAAAAAACACTAATTATTAACCTACCACAGTATTACGAGCATAGGATTTACAAAACAGAAAAAAAAATAAGGGAGGGGGGCTACATTCACACATATGAGGAAACACACAAGAAATATAAAACTATTTAACAACACAAACATATAGATTGCATACAGAACCACAAACACAACAAAATATATGAAACAAAATAGTAGAGAACAAGATATATTTAATAAAAGTAGAATCTGCCATCTGAAATATGCAAGTTGCCCGACGGGAAGAACTTTCAAACCCCAACAGAGAAAACACATCCACACAACATATTAAAGAAAAGCAGTGGCATGCACACAGAGAACCTGCACGAAATAACACGCGACTTGTGCTGAAAGCATGAGGTAGCCGCTGCAGCACATACAGGTATAAGCATAGAGTAGGTATCTCTGTGATTTTCGTTTTTAAATCTAAATTTAAAGTTTTAATATTAAAGCAAAATGAGAATTTAAAATTTTAAACCAATCGACGTGTGAATATTCATAAAACACAATTGACAAAATCGACAAGGGGAGTTTTTGAATATCGGGTGCCGATTGACGACAGAAAATGAACAATTGGAAATTTGGAATTTAAATGTTAATATTGAGTGCAGTGTGACAGGTACGTGAAGTGAAATACACCTGATGATGGCCGATTACGGCCGAAACATGTAGTGTGAAAGAAGGGGGACAAGAACTACAATAAAGTGTTACATTTACAATGGAGTTTGTATTTTACATACAGAAACATCCATACAATCAGAATCAGCAGACAAAACTCTAAGTATGCCCAATATATGCTGAATGCGTGCTGCATATACGGAACAGTGTCGTGACGGCAGAAATTCTGAATAGCAGACCCAGGGAAAGACATCCATTCATGGGCCGGAAGTCACGAGTCACGAGTCTCGAGTCTGAAGTCGACGGTCGAAGTCGGAGGTCGGAGGTCGGAAGTCGGAGGTCTAAGTCGTTGTTTAACATTCCGCAGTCTTAAGTTGCATTGTTATACGCCGCTACCAAACAACGACTAATGAAAATAAAGACGATTTAGTGTTTGCAGTAGTGATCTGTATAGTGTGTACGATATGAAAATGTTATAATTATTCGTAGTTACGAGTTATAAAAGTTCGAGAAATCCACTTATCAATCCAAATCACGTGTCCAGTCATTAACACGTGACAATACCATGTAAATACTCAACAGAGCAGAAAAGGGCTTTTACATGGATACATTGGAGAAATTTCACACATAAAATATCAGTGAGCAGACAATACACACATGAATGATGCCTATAGAGACACAAGGAACCCTACTTACGATCAGGTATTAATAATCACAAAACCAGATGGCAGTACACATCCGCATATATTTATATGCACCAACACAGCCTACACAGCACCACGTAATAACAAACAAACATTACATAAAATTATAGTTCAAGACATTAAGAAACTACAAGACAACATATACCACATTTACCCCGCTGATCACCTAGAAATAAGGTAGAAAAATGTAGTCGATAATAATAAGACAATATCAATTAAAGAAGATGCTAAGAACAAAGATCCAAAAGGTGCTTGGCAGAACATGATTCAGGTGGCCAGAATAGGCTTAATATTACGCTGAGGCAGATGGACTTAACATATAACAATCGAAAGGAATTAGTCGAGATAGCTCAGTCGGTAATGTGACTAGCTACGAAAGGCCAGTGTTAGAATCATGGCAGAGATAATGATTTTTCTGTTCGATATAAAATTGTCTCTGAAAGCCATCTATCATATCCGTTGTGAACTGGGGGCTCTTTCCTCAGAGACAAAACGGCCAGAAGTCTCTTCCAAGAAGTGACGAGGTCTGGGATGAAAGTAACTTCGCATCTACCCCGGGAGTATAGCCGAGAAGCATAGTATTCAGGGACAGAAAGCTAAATGCGCCGTTTGCTCACCTCGAGATGGCGATGTCCGCCTTTTGCAGGGCGATTTTTGACGCCCTCTGTGCTGCGTTAACAGCCGCGTCTATCCTCTCACGGAACTTTGCGGAGCGGATGAGGAACAGATGCTTCTTCTTCTGGGAAGTGATGAGGACATTGTTCTTGTACTTGCCCTCTTCTTTGGAGCCGTCTCTGAAGGTAGTGACACCGTAGCCGTACTTCTTGTTTGCGAACCACTCGCCCTCGTACCGCAGTCCGTCCGAACGCTCGCTGATGCCGAACCCTGAGCGCTTGTCGTTCTTCCATTCGCCCATGTACGTCTCCGTTACGCTCTCGTCCATCTGTTCGTCCTGAGGACACAGAGTAATCAGTGTGGTTTCCTCTTATCTCTGCTTTTCTACCTACTTACAGCCATTCCTGCCCAAATTTGGCGTAGGCCTAAACATAGTTCGACGTAATTTTTGTTTCTGTGAAATATATTCATCCAAGGAATTTTCCTTTGAAGAGATCTATTTGGTTCTAGAATAAATCGAAATCATAACCGATAACAAGTAAAGGCAAAGCTATCCCTGTAACAGGCCGCGGAGGCCCACAAGGTTGTGAGACGTCAAGGCTCCCATATTTTCTACACAATCGGCTCACAGATGGCGGCGACGTCGTCAGTCCTACGCGCCGGCCGCCCTTTACCACCAGGAAGATTCCTGGTACTCATTTCTGTTACAGTCCGAGTCGACCTCAGGGCCATAGTGCAAATGGAAGGATTAGGTCAATTGAAAAAAATCCAATGACCTCATCAGGAATCGAACCCGCGACCTTCCGACCTGTAACATAGTGCTTGAACCAACTACGCTACCACATGACCCAATCAGAACTGGTAAGATATCCAAAACAACAAATAAAGCATTCGAAAATACGTTCGTTCCGATCTCAGCAGAATTTCCTCTTCTGTTACATATAAAATACTATGATAATTACGAAGAGTTCTGTATTCTAGGATACACCGCCGTGTAGTCCGCTGAGGGTCAAAGGATAGGTTCCTCCAAAATTTAGGTTGACTTTCAGTGGATTACATGCCGTTATACCTCAGATAGTAGAACTCTCTCATAACCGTCGTTGTGAGAGTCTCAAATCCTACATGTCCCTTCGATAAAATCGTGTTCTTTACCTCGACGACGAAGCTGGCATTGGAGTCTGTGTGCACGGAGGCATTGGTCATCCCAGACTGCGAAGATTCTGTGCTGATCCAGGAGGCATTGGAGCTGGTGCTCCGAATGCTGGCAGAGTTGCCCCCCCGCTTATCCAGATCACCCGTGCTTCGCTGCTTTCGCATCCTCTGCATTAAAACCAACAATCACTAACACCTTCCATTAATGTAATCTACATTTGTAGATTTTTTATAATGTGGTTGATAAATCGGCATTTATACAGATTAGCTCTCATTGTTAGGACAGTCAAATGAAGCAGATTCTTTTAAGTAAGACATGTAGTTTGTAAACTCCTTTACTGGCCTATCCTAACAATTGTAGCGGCATTGTTCCAACCAGAAAGTTCTTCTTTTATAACCTCATTCATTCTGTAATTAAATTAATACTCATAGATTAACACATTTTTCTGAACACTTCGCTTTAAAATATTTTTAGGAGGTCATGTTTCACAATCACAAAACAACATAACTAAAATTTAGTTCTTATTTTTCAAATATATTCGATCTAGAGTAACCTCACTTCACTGTCCTGAAAATAAGACTTGACGTATTGATCACCAGGTTCCTCATAACACAACACCTTCCGACCCACGTATTTTTCTTGAAATTACATTTCAGATGCAGTGAGAGATGGCTCACTGAGCTGATGGCCTACAACTGTACTGCCTGGGTTCCATTCCGTACATGGACGAAGGATTATTTCTGTTCACGACATTGAGAGAGGATATCAGACATTTATTTCTAGGAGAGTCGAGCCCAGTAATGGGCTGCGTACATTTTCAAATTACTGATAGCACTTTCGTTGAGTGACCTGCTATATAGTTAAACCCTACCAAATAGGCCTGCATGAAGATCAAGTTGTAGTGATGGGAAGTCAGCTAAAACTTCAAGAAAGGCCATCATATTTGAGCGGAGATTAAACGTTATTCGTCGATTTGTAGCTGATGATGATTAGACGAACGTGGTGACAATTTTTTTTTCCCATCGTATGTAACAGTTCTGAATAGTAGTGTTAAAGTCAAATGCAATGATCCTTGAATTATTTCAAGGTTAACTCATACAAGAAATCACACACGGAGAATGGGGAGAGGATGGTAGGAATATGAGTAGAAGAGAACCAGCAAAACTTGTTTCCAATTTATACAGTAACATCGATGAAGGAAAACACACACACACA